CCTTCTATATATAGATAGTCTCTAGATATAGGCCGTTCTTATTTGATGACTATCTTATCGTCTTTAGATGCTAATTCAACTTTATAATTGGTTTATATATTAAGACAGTTTTAAATATGTGTATATATATATATACATATATAATTGATTGGTCCGTTTCCTTATGCATTTGCTTATGCTTATATATAGACCAATCAATTTCCTTATGCTTATGCGTTATGCTTTATGTAAAAGTCTGTGCTCCGGTCTTAAGCCTTAAGGTACCTTTTCATGCTGACGCTCGACGCTCAATTTCGGCGTTAGAAGACATATCGTGACTAAAAATAACGAATCATTGCAGCGATTTTTGATGATGTCTTTGACGCTGAAATTCAGTATCAAGCGTCAGCATAAAAAAGTACCTTCAAAAACACTTACTTCTTAGCATTTATCGTCTGTTGCGTCGGCTCAGTGGAAGGGAGACGTGCGTTCTCTTCCATTGGTCGACCGGGTCGAGCTCACACGGATAGGGTGACGTCATCGGTTCTCGGTTGTTTTGTGTGATGCTGCCGCTCGTTTCTGGCAGCACTGCTTCAGAGTCCGCTGGATGAGAACTCGGCCCCCACTATCTCGCCGTCCCCACTTATGTTTGCTCGCTATGTTTTGTTCTAAGCCTTATTGTTAGAAGATAGCGAACAAACATAAGTGGGGACGGCGAGATAGTGGGGGCCGAGTTCTCATCCAGCGGACTCTGAAGACTGCTCGCGAGCAAGCTTTTGACCAGGCTTGCTATATACAGGGTGTCTGGCAATAATTGCCCCACCGGTCATATACAGGTAGAGGAGGTCAAATCGAGTAGAAAAGTCCTTTACCATTTTTTAATTTTTATAATAAGTACTGAGTAATTAACGAAAAAAGATCGGCGAATCCGCGCGAGTAAAGCGCGCGCGGTGAGAAGGACGTCCTACTGCTACGCGATCACTAGGACACAAGGATCTAGCGTTACGCGCCGCTCGTATGTTGCCATTGTCATTTGTAGAGCGCTCCTCCCAACGCTTCATCGCGCGCCTAGTGATCGCATAGCAGTGGGATGTCCTT